AGTGTCGGCCTGTGGAGAGGGGCGATGAGCAGGCTTATCGACGGACAATGGTGGGTAGGATCATGCTCACCAGACGATGTCTCTAACAGGGTTCAACTTTTGATATGAAGGGTGGGGGTTTTTAAAGTGCACAATGGATCCGTTCTTCGTGACATGGTGAGGCTTGGCGCGAGCATCTTCGGGTGTGTCGGTGGACTCCGGCAGCTTTGTGATGGAGGATGTGTAGGAGGCCACGGCCAGAGCGACGGCAGCCATGGGTGCAGAGGAACGGATCAGACCGTGGGAGGTGGATGGAGTAGCTTGGGCTTTGAATGAACGGAAGATACTTCGCAGCTTGCCGATTGACATGATGCAACGAGAAGGAGGCAATGGGACTGTGCAAGATCCGAAGGGGGACGGAAGAAATTATAGTGGTCAGCCATGCACCTTCTCTCGTGATGAAGAGGCAGAAAGGCAGGCAGGCAGGCAGGCAGGTCGATAGATCCACTACGCAATCAATGGTTGCCATGAGACTTTGACATGCCATGTGGACAGGGGTAGCTTCATGATGGGCCTGTGTCCAAGGTACATTCAAAGGCCAGTCGCACTCGCATCCGGCAGCAGAATGATCGAAAGCCGCCGTACCGCCGTGGACTTAATCGGACTCGGACTTACGTAGTGACCCACAAGCCTGCCTCAGGAGCTTGTCTGTTGAGGTACATGTAAGGCCTGGGCCTGAGCCTGGGAGCCTTGCCTTTAGTGTGCCTACAACGTGTAGTAGGTACCTAAGTAAGGTAAGTTTACCAAAATACCCAGCGCCCGGAGTCTACGGGCTTCGCCCCCACCTTCTCAGCATCCCTAACCCTCTGGCAGCAACAAACAGCGTTATGCTCCCCTCCCCCCCCGGCTGCAGGCTGACATATCAATGCCACTGGCAAGCTGACGGCATGCGTCAAGAGAAGAGAAATGCCACGACAGCCCTGAACTCGTCCCCCAGACCTGCCGAGAGTCTCTTGTACCGCTCTCCTTGCTTCCACAGTGGCAAACGATGGCTTCTCTCCCACTCCTGTTCCTCCATCGCCCTGAGATATCTTCTCTTGGCCTGATCGAGATTGACGATACCTTTGTAACGCATTGCAAACTCGAGGCGCTGATCCATTTGTGTCTGTTCCGGATCTGTACCGTCAGAGGACGCACTCTTGGAGTCAGGTCCTTCCCGATCGGGCGAATCCGTCTCTATGGAGGCGGTCTCAGCTCCCTCTGTGCCGTGCAAAGTGTGCTTGACGTGCGGCCGCAGGATATGTGGTACCCTCGCTAAACCCTCCAGTCGTCTCATGTCACTCTGGATGCTCCAATATCTCGGCCGTCTGAAAGTAAGTCCCTGTCGGAGACAGTCAAGCTCGTCCTCGCAGGACCTTGCGATGTTGTCCTGCAGACTCTGCCGGACAGCATCACCTTGTTGTGCCGCTACGGCAAGGGCGTGACATCGGTCGAGGCATGTTTGTATGACATCTATTGCATCGCGTGGGGCTCGCTTATCTGCCATGACACCCTGGATCTGCCATGATGCCGACTCGGAACAGCCGTTGCGCAAGCGATGCATCTTCTGGTCGATCATCCTCCATCTTCTTTCATTGCGCTGTCTAACCCAGGACGGGATGCATATCTCGTGCTCTCGCGGTGCGTCGTACTGGTTGTGAGACATCCTGGGTCCTCTATTTTTCTCCTTTCGAGCTTGGATGATCTCTGCTTATACTAAATCCACCAGCCTTGAGTGAGGGGACACTCAATGCCATGAAGGGTGTATATATAATGCATCGCGAGCCAATTCCGATGCACGCCTTGTCGCCGTGAGCTTCATCACCCAGAAAGCAAATTTGTCCAGGTCTGCATAGTCACACGGTCAACACGGAGCTTAAAAAGTTCAAGGTTCATTCATCATTACAGGTCAGCTTGGACCAGCATCAAACACACGCTCAGGAAACCAAAACCTTGCCGCACCAAGTCCCTCGGGATGTCATATGCCCAAACAAACCGTAGCACCCGAAATACAAAATCATCAACGAGGGGTGATCGCCTCGCTCGAATCACATATCGAGTCCACGGGTATCTTCTCTCAGCTCGTCGCTCCCCAGCTCCTTCTCCAGTTCGTCGGCTACAAAGCCTTCGTAGTCATCCAGGTTCTTCTGCACGTGAATCTTGAACTTGATCACGTCATTCAGCATGCGGTCAATCTCCGTGTGGAGCTCCTCCCGCAGTGCGTTTGCTCGCAGCACGAGCTGTTCGTACCTGGACTGCTGTTAGCAAGGAGAATTCCGTCTCTCGCCGTTCGCGCGTCACTCACTCGATGCTCGTGTTCATCTCACGCTGCTCCATTAATTGAACCGATTCGGACAAGGAACCACGCATCTTGGCGAGTTCCTTCTCCATTTTTTCAATCTGGGCATCGGAAGCCATCTTCTGCGTCGTCGTGACCTGGTCTCCCTGTTAGTCCTCATGGTCGCCCGTTCGGTGCGCTACTGCAGGCGGTCGCTCACCTCTTTGGTCTTTTCGTATTCTTCCTCAGCTGCGCGGACGCGATGCTCTAGGGCCTCCACCTCATTCCGTTTGTCCTCGATGGCTTCCTTGATTCCGTCCAGTAAATCGTGGTCCTTCATCATCAAGTCCATCGCGACACTCCGTCGCTCCGAGATTTCTTTCCGCAGGGTGAGCAAGCTATTCTTAATCTGACCGCGCAGGTCCAGGTTGAGAATGTGAGCCGGCTGGTAGCCCGTTGTGGGGTCTGCGAGCAGCCTGTCCGTCGAGCCGGAGCCGCTGGAACCCTTGAGTTGAGAGGAGCCAAAGTCGGGCCCGTCGTTGACGGTCACTTGAAGCTCAAAGTCTCTGCCCTTGGCGTTGACAGCCGTGGCTGGAATGAGGCCAATCTGGTAGGCAAGTGTGTTGTAATTGTCGACCATACGCTCCAGGTCGTCGAGCTTGTGGCTCGCCTCCAACTCGCGGTCTGCCAGCTTCTTCTTGACGTCCTCCAGCCTCTGGCTTGCCAGCTCGATACCCTTCTGAAGGCGATCTTGCTCAGAGGTCATGCGGTCAATATCCTGCATGCTGATGCCCTGATCATCCACGATCTTTTGCAGCCCGCGGCGCTCTTCCTCGGCCTCTTTGAGCTCCTCCATGAGCTTGTCGAGCTCTTCCTGCAAAACCTGGCCGCGGTTCTCATACTTGTCCGTTCTTTGTATCGCGAGTTCATTGTACTCTTCAAACTTGACCTTGTCCTCCTCCATGATTTTGAAGTGGTTGTCGAGCAGGGCAGGATCTGGTGTCGACTTTTCCAGGTCTTCAATCTCCCGCAACAGCCGGCTATTTTCCGCCTCCAGCATCTCGAGCTCTGATGAATATTTGGAGTTGGCATGTTCAAACGCCTCGGCCATGAGCTCGACGTGCGGCGCCAGCACCCTGTCGGCCTCATCGTCGCCCGCATCTTCGTCCATGGAAAGCCAATCCCTGTATGCCTTGCTCAGAAAGTCGAAGATGACGTGGTCGCCGCTGACGTCAATACCGCTCTCTGTGCACGCGTCGTCGTAGCGATTGGCCGCGTAGCCGTCCAGCATCTGCGCGAGCTGCATCATCCAGTGCAGCACGCCGAGGAACGTGCTCCAGTTCTGGCCGCCGACAGCGGCAATCTGGCTCTTGGTGATGCTCCGCTCGTATGGATACCGCAGCTGCTTGAGGATGGGGGGCACCTCCTGGTCGATGTTCTTCTGGAAGCGGTAGCTGGGGTCGATGCGGTGGTAGAGCCACTGAAACATGTAGTTGAAGTCCTTTTGCGTCGGTGACTTGATAATGTTCTGCGAAAGGGTGTGTTTCATCTGCATTTCAAAGTTGTTCTGCGCGAGGTAGTCGAGGAGTTCCTGCGCTATCTTGGCCTGGTAGGACCTGTCGCGGAGAGGACGAGGGTCGCGCGGCACGCCGGCCGGCTGCGGCGCTTGCTGGAAGAAGCTCTGGTGGCTCATGGGCCCGTTTGTCGAGGGTCGCGAGCGATAGACGCTGCTCCGTCGGTCGGCGTCGGTCGAGGCGCGACCCGGGGCGGCGCTGGGCGCGAAGGGCTTGGGGTCTCGGAAGGAGGAGCGCTTGACGGAGGAGAAGCCCAGGTCGGCGAGGTTCGCGCCGCCGGAGGAGGAGCGCTGAAACTTGGGCTGGCTGGGTCGCGAGAGCGCCAGGGACTGCCTAGATCCCGACATGGATCGCACATGGCTGTTGGAGAAGGGCACGCCGGCGCTCGAGTTGGATCGCTTCATGGCGGATGCAGGCTGGGGAAGGGCTGAGTTGTGGTTGAGATTTCCAAGAGTCTGCATGAGGCATCAGTCAGGCTTGCCCGCGAAGGGCCATGCGCTGCGTCGCAAAGCAGACTTGTCGATCACGTTGCTCGCACCCTGTTTGCTCACCTCTCGTGGCCTGCGAACACTCCACAGACCTGTGTCTTGCGACATTGTTCTTTGGTGGTTTTTGGCGAGTATTTCGGGGCTGTTCGGTGAGTCGACACCTGATCAAGCCGGTATATAGAGTCTCGTACAGGACAGAATAAGCTGGATACGTAGCCAAAGGTGGAAGTACCTAATCCGAAAGCTTTAGATTGGGGGAGGGGGGGTTGTGTGGTGTTGCCCAGGGGTGGGGGAACCCTGAATGTAAACAAAGGCGCCGAAACGTGCTGATTGGGCGCGCATTCACGAAAGACAACAGCCCGGCCTTGGGCCATGAGATCATGCTGGCCACGTGACCACAAAACAGAGGATCCCAACGATGGGCGGGTCCCCACCCCCAGCATCTGGCTGCATCAGCTCCAGCCGACGGTACGTGCACCGAAGCCTCGGCCCAGCGCCGGGCATCCTCTTTCTCCATCCGTCGAGGGCACATGCTGTCCCGCCTCGCCTTCGACAGACATCTACAGCTGTCTCCTGATCACCACCATCCCATCTCGCCAGAGGGCATGCAAGGTAGACGCTGAACCTGCTGCCTGTTTAAGCATGGCGATACGAGAGGAACTCGTCGCTTCGGCGGTATGTCCCTGCATTTCCCTGCGTCTTCCTCAGAAGGCTCAAAAACTGTTGTGTTACGAGCGAAGCAGCTAACACGCATCCAGGCACAATGTCAGTCTCACCCATCATGGTGGCCGACAGTAATTCCTGGGATGAATCTGACCAACTCACAGTCCTGCTTGACCCGAGCGTCGCGAACTCATCGGTCGATAACCGCGTTTCCTTCCTCCGAACCAAGAACCTTACACAAGAGGAAATCGATGCGGCACTCGCCCGCGTGGGTGTGCAGTCACCAGCCGGTACTGCACCACCGCCAGCCATGAGCAGCCCGTACCAGAACAGCCCGCAACAGTACTACGGCCAACCATACGCGCCGCAACATGCCGCCTGGCAGCCGGCCCCGCCTCCGCCAAAGCGGGACTGGAGGGACTGGTTCATCATGGCGACGGTCGTGGGCGGTGTCAGCTACGGAGTATACGAGCTGACCAAGGTATGACTAGACCTTATACGGCGCTGGCCGTGAGCCACAGAGGCGCCGAGGACCATCGACTGACATGCGCAGCGCTATGTGTACCCTCTTATCGCACCACCAACCCCCGAACGCCTAGAACAGGACAAGAAGACGATTGAAGAGCAGTTTGACGGGGCCTTTGCGCTAGTGGAGCAGCTGGCAAAGGACACGGAAGCGCTCAAGGCGGCGGAACAGGAGCGAACTGAGCGGCTGGACACGGCCCTTTCGGATTTCGAGGGCGTTATCAACGAGCTCAAGTCGGCAAACAAACGCCGCGACGACGAGGCGCAGCGGATCCGCGATGATGTGTACAACCTCAAGGATGCCATCCCCAAGGCTCTCGAGACGCAAAAGGACCTGACGGATCAGAGGCTGCGCGAGATCAACGCCGAGCTGACGAGCCTGAAAACGCTCATCTCGCAACGCATGACCGCTCCCTCGCCATCGCCCACGCCGGTCAACGGCTACCTCCGCCCGAACAGCACCAGCGGAACGCCGGCGACGCCGAGCGGCAACAAGTCGGCGTCGGTGGCTGACGAGAAGCCATCGCCCGAGCCGACGACGCCCTCGACCGCCGAGCCGGCCAAGCCCAACAACTTCAGCAGTGCCGGTAAGAGCCTCGCGCTCGGCGGTTCGGGTGCCAAGGCTTCCATCCCCGCCTGGCAGATGGCCATGGCGAACAAGTCGACCAACTCTTCATCAGCTGCCAGCAGCGGCGACGTCGCGGGCGCTTCCCAGGCTCAGGCTGGTGGCTCTGCTTGAACTCAGCAGGAGTAGGCCCGCACGGGCAAGGCAGGGAGGCAGTTTGTATAGTACGATGAGGGCTACAGGTAGCGAACGGCGTGCATCGGTTGGATCTACGGACGTGCGAATCTTGGGTGCGACGAGGAAGTTGCGCCGGGCAGTACATGGATGCTTTGTAAATGACATAGTTGGTGAGACTCAAACATGGCAAGTTCAATGTCACATACCGTAACCCTAGGTACTTGGTGGGCCTGGTAGCAACTGTTCTGTGCGAGCATCTTACTTCATGACCATGAAGAGTTGTGTCAGAAAGTGAAACGTTCGCAGCCCACGGAGCGTCCACCGCGATTGACATGCCTGAATCGGCATGTGAATCGAGTCTCATATAGGTGTGCTGCTAGCCATGTTCCCAGTGGTGCATCCCTGGTGCAGATGGGCTGGTCTCCTGACCGCAAGGTTTTCCGTATTGGGGTTGCCCCAGCCGAGAATCCATCCAAGCGTGTCCGTTGACTGGCACCAACTCGCAAGTCCACCTGTATTCTGGCAACTCTCGCATGTCCGTTCCGCCCTGGGGCGACAGCACTAGCGCGCCGCCGCCCCTTTGCAAACTCGCAGACAGAACCCAGCACCCGAGGCTCGTTCTTCGTCATGGATGCCCTTGGGTTTGTTCGACGGGCCTGGTGCCATGGCAGCATGGCCTCGATTTGTGTTGGACCTGGGATGAACTGCACCTGCCGCTGAGGAATCTCGCCACACCTTGTTCTGCTGCCCTTGCCAACCTGTCAAGCAGGCGTCTCGATTACTTTCCTTCTTTCGCCCGTTCGTCATTCCATCCTATTCCTTAAGGAATGATGAATCGTCAAGCGTCACCCGCAACGCCCGCCATGTCAACCCCACCAGCACCTCAACCATCCGAGACTGAAACTAGCTCGTCCTTGACAGTAAGGCAGCAAGCCAAGCTTCTTCTCGCGATCCTCCCCAAGGTCCCATTGATCGTCCAGACGGCTCTGCTCCATATATTGCACCTGTCGGCGTCGGCGAAACATCTTGACCTCCGCGGCGAATTGATCGTTGCCGTTCTTCGTTCGTTCTTGCAAACCAACAAACCACGTACCATTTCGTCGACGCAGCGTCTTGTCAATCGGGATCCTGGCGTCAAAGGCAGGCTATGGGTGGCCAACTATGCCGCGCCCGCGCCGCCAGAGACTGGTGTCCGTGATGCGCTGACTGCCGCCATCGAGGCGCTGCAAGACCATTCAACGGCATTATCCGCCAAGGCGCCCCTTCGACTGCCCAAGATCGTGGCGGTCGAGGCCGAGTGGACGGGATACCGCGCGGCCGCGGCCCAGGATGCGACGCTGCCAGCCATATCAGAGAGGGAGAGGTATGACGAGATGCAGAAGGAGGTTCAGACTCCTCTCACCGTTCTTTACTTCCACGGCGGCGCCTACTACCTCGGCGACCCATGTGCCTACCGGGCCGTTACGAAGAAGCTGGCCAAGCTGACGGGTGGTCGATGTTACTCGGTCCGGTATCGTCTAGCGCCCCAAGATCCGTTTCCGGCAGCCGTGCTGGATGCGTTGACCTCCTACCTGGCGCTTCTGTACCCCCCACCAGACGCCTACCACGAGGCGGTCGAAGCACAAAACATTGTGTTTTCAGGTGACAGGTGAGTCAAGAGGCCCATTCCCAATGAGCCATGGCGGGCTGCCGAACGTGCTGACAAGCTGTGTGCGCAGTGCCGGCGGCAACCTGAGCCTAGCCCTGCTACAGACCCTGCTGGAACTCCGACGGCAGAAGCGCACCATTGCCTGGTTCGGCGAGCAGCGCGAGGTGCCGCTGCCGGCCGGGGTCGCTGCGTGCTCGCCTTGGATGGACATCACGCAGAGCTCGCCCAGCTGGGAGGCCAACGGCGCCTTTGACTACCTGCCGACGCCGACGCGGCACCGCGCCATCAGCATCCCCCCCTGTGAGGCGTGGCCGGCGAGCCCGCCACGCACGAGCATTTACGCCGACGACGCGCTGCTCGCGCACCCGCTGGCGACGCTGCTCATGGCGCGCGACTGGACCGGGGCGCCGCCGGTGTACGTGTGCACGGGCTGGGAGCTGCTCGCAGACGAGGACAAGTACATCGCGAAGCATCTGCGCAGCCAGGGCGTCCCCGTCGTGTTCGAGGAGTACGAGGGCATGCCGCATTGTTTTGTGCTGCTGATGCCCGGCATGCCGAACGCACAGCGCTGCTTTGAGGGGTGGACGGGGTTCATGAAGGCCGTCGTTGGCACATTTGGCGGGATCGAGTCGCGGGCTGTCAGCGTCAAGGCCAAGACCCTGGAGGAGACGGAGCTCAGCTTTGAGAGCCTCAGCGAGGTGACAGAGGAGGCGATGAGGAGTCGGGTACTGAAGTCAATTGCAGACAATGTTCCTGCACCGCCCGAGGCCTCAGCCAAGCTGTAGGGCGGCATCTGCCTGATATTGGGGACAACAGCGATGAGCTTTTTTTTTCTTCCTTTTTTTTTTTATTTGGTCAGAGACAGTAGTATCATAACTACATATTTGCATGGAGAATGATGCAAACCATATTCAATTCTGAACACCTTGTCCACAATTGAATACAAAGCACTCAAGGTGCTGTTGGGGCAGGTATCAACAAGATACCTCAGGTAGACGCCCCTGACAGTTCAATTGTGAAGCTCGGACATGTACTCTCTGGCAGTGGCTGTACTCAAAAGGTACAAGCTCGGATCCGAGTGCGGGTCCCGGCCAAGGGTCACGGAGCTTCTTGAACAATTATTCACTGTCTTGCTGGAGCACCTTGACACATACTCGCTGTTATCACATACACTCTCCCAACCCAACTCACCCCCCTCCCTACCGATGGAGCGCCACAAGCAGGCCGTGACCAGGATAGCCTCCTCGGTTCGGACCTTCTTTGACCGCAAGGAGCCCTACCGCATCTTCCACGGCTCGACGAACAGCACCCGTCCCTTCCGTCGCGATCGCTTCGTGGACATTAGTGCCCTGAACAATGTTCTCGAAGTCAACGAGGCTCGACGCATCGCTCTCGTCGAGCCCAATGTTCCCATGGACCGTCTCGTCGAGAACACCCTCCGACATGGCCTGATCCCTCCCGTCGTCATGGAGTTCCCCGGCATCACGGCGGGCGGTGGGTACGCAGGCACGGCGGGTGAGAGCTCCAGCTTCAAGCACGGCTTCTTTGACGACACGATCAACCAGGTCGAGATGGTCCTGGCCAACGGCGATGTCGTCAACGCGAGCCCCACCGAACGTGCAGATCTCTTCCGAGGCGCCGCCGGTGCTGTCGGCACCCTTGGCATCACGACTCTCATCGAGCTGCAGCTCATCGAAGCGAAAAAGTATGTCAAGACGACCTACCACCGCACGCGCACCGTGGCCGAGGCTGTCGAGCTCGTCAAAGCCGAGACTCTGAACCCGGAGAACGACTACGTCGACGGCATCGTCTTCTCCAAGAGCCACGGCGTCGTCGTCACAGGCACCCTGACCGACGACAAGCCGGCCGAGACCAGGCCCCAGACCTTCAGCGGCGCCTGGGACCCCTGGTACTACCTGCACGTCGAGGAGCGCACCAAGGCCGCCGGCACGACCGACGTCTCGGTGCCCGCCGTCGACTTCATCCCTCTGGCCGAGTACCTCTTCCGCTACGACCGCGGCGGCTTCTGGGTCGGCGCCGCCGCCTTTGACTACTTCCGCCCCGTGCCCTTCAACCGCTTCTTCCGCTGGTTCCTCGACGACTTTCTCCACACGCGCATGCTCTACCGCGCCCTGCACGGCAGCGGCGAGTCGGCCCGCTTCATGGTCCAGGACCTCGCGCTACCGTACGAGAATGCCGAAAAGTTCATCGACTACACGACCGAGCACACGGGCATCTGGCCCCTCTGGCTGTGCCCCCTTCAGCAGACCCCGGCGCCCACCTTCCACCCGCACACGGACAGGCCCGCGCCCGCCGCGTCGCCCACCGCCGTGGCCGCCCCGGGGGCAGCGTCGCCCCAGCCCAAGGGCCGGCCGATGCTCAACATTGGTCTCTGGGGCTTCGGCGCCAAGGAGCCGGCGGCCTTTGTGGCGCAGAACCGCGCCCTCGAGGACAAGCTGCACGCGCTCGGCGGCATGAAGTGGCTCTACGCGCACCTCTACCAGTCGCGGGACGACTTTTGGCGCACGTACGACGCCGCCTGGTACGACGCCCTGCGCGCCAAGTACGGCGCCGACACGCTGCCGACCGTGTACGACAAGGTCAAGGTCGACGTCAACGCCCGCGCCGAGGAGCTCAAGCAGTGGCGCCAGCGGCTCAAGGCGACGTGGCCGCTTGCCGGCCTCTGGGGCATCTGGAAGTCGATCCAGAGCAAGGACTACAAGCTGCATCGCAATGCCGAGTGGAAGTTCAACAAGGAGAGAGACGCATAACTCGGTCGATCGTTGAATCGAGCCCGGCCGCCTTTTCGTCGTGCCGGCCAGGCAGGCAGGAGGCGGCAGGAGACCCACAGACAAGGAGGGAAAGCTCGCAGGGTCATGATCTAGATAGACTGGGCAAGCTCGCCTTTCACCTGTACCATGCCGGCCTTATACTATTGTACCACCACCATTCTACTTAGACATGTCATTCGACAACACACAATTGCTCAGACCCAACCAACCGAGAAGAGCTCCTCGTTAAACATGACACTCACAATGCAGACATCTCAGCCAGGACTTTAATCTACAACTGTTTATCATCCAAAAGAAAAGAAAAAAAGTCCGCATTCACTGGGCAGAGTCATGTGAAACGCTCTCGCCCGCTCTAACGCAGTCGTTCGTGCATCTATATGCCGATGTAGAAATCATAGACCTCAAAGCACCCCCATGCATGTCTGTCTGCTTCAACGACAGCCCATCTAATTATTGCACCAGCCTCTATTAGTGCCAGGGGCCGGATCCAGTAGTTTCCCCCGTGTCGGCAGTACCGTCCGCGCGCCGCGTTCCTCTCCGTACCCCGTCTCTCATTC